GTGCTGTATCAGTAATTATTAAATTATATAATACACTTTCGCACAATATAAAGTAATATAAATTATATGTGCTTTATATTCATACATATAATTTTACATATGATATGCATCTACATATAATGTAAATATTTTGTATACAATGAAACATATTTAACTTGATTTGTATAATACAGTATTTTATACTTCATAATTTATAAAATTTAACAATATTCATATAATTTTGTAAATAAGTATATGATATATAATTTGTAAATAAAACAAAAATTATATGTAGTTTATATTATAAATATTCTGTATATAATTTTAAAATTTATATTAATTATATAATCTTTTTAAAATATTTTATTTATTTATTTTCAGAGAGAGGGGAAGGAAAAGAGAGGGAGAGAAACATCAATGTGTGGTTGCCTCTCATGTGTCCCCCACTGGGAACTGGCCTGCAACCTAGGCATGTGCCCTGACTGGGAATCGAACTGCGATCCTTTGCTTCACAGGTCCACACTCAATCCACTGAGCTACACCAGCCAGTGCGAATTATACAATCTATTAATAAAGCTATAATGTCACTTGTCAAGTGTGAACCAGTGTATCAAGGCAGAAAAACATGCAGCAGGAGACAGATTTTCACTGTTTGCAGACAGTACAATTGTGTTCCTACATAATCTGAGGTAAACTGAGAAACTACTGAAACTATTAAGGGAATCTGCAAAGTTATAAAATAAATGGCAAAATCAATAGGTTTTCCATATGCCAGCAGTAATTGACTTTAAAAAACCTATTTAGGAAATTAAAGACTTGAATAGGTATAGAGAGATTTATTTTTGCCTCAGATTAATATATTTTATTTATTTATTTTTAATATATTTTATTGATTATGCCATTATAGTTGTCCCATTTCCCCCCCTTCATTTCCCTCCACCCTGCACACCCCCTCCGCCCATCCCCCCCTTACTTAGTTCATGTCCATATGTCACAAGTTCTTTAACTTCTACATTTTCCCATGCTATTCTTAACCTCCTGCTGTCTATTTTCTACCTACCGTCTATGCTACTTATTCTCTGTACCTTCTCCCCCCTTCTCCTCCTCTCACTCCCCTGTTGCCAACCCTCCTTGAGATCTTCATTTCTATGTTTCCACTCCTGATCTAGCTGTCCTCTTAGTTTGCTTTTGTTTTAGGTGTGGTTGTTAATAACTGTGAGTTTGCTGTCCTTTCACTGTTCATATTTTTTCTTTTCTTTTTCTTAGATAAGTCCCTTTAACATTTCATATAATAGGCGGTTGGTGATGATGAACTCCTTGAACTTGATCTTATCTGAGAAGCACTTTATCTGCCCTTCCATTCTAAATGATAGCTTTGCTGGATAGAGCAATCTTGGATTTCTTGACTTGGAATACTTCTGTCCAGCCTCTTCTTGCCTATGAGTTCTCTTTTGAGAAATCAGCTTACAGTCTGATGGGAACTCCTTTGTAGGTAACTGTTCCTTTATCTCTCACAGCTTCTAGAATTCTCTCCTTCATTTTAATCTTGGGTAATGTAATTACGATGTGCCTTGGTATGTTCCTTCTTGGGTCCACCTTCTTTGGGACTCTCTGAGCTTCCTGGACTTCCTGGAAGTCTATTTCCTTTGCTGGATTGGGGAAGTTATCCTTTATTATTTGTTCAAATAAGTTTTCCACTTGTTGCTCTTCCTCTTCCCCTTCTGGTACCCTATAATTCAGATGTTGGAACATTTAAAGATGTCTTGGAAGTTCCTAAGCCTCTCCTCATTTTTTTTTGAATTCTTATTTCTTCATTCTTTTCTGTTTGGTTGTTTCTTTCTTCCTTCTGGGCCACTCCATTGATTTGAGTCCCAGTTTTCTTTCCATCACTATTGGTTCTCTGTGCACTTTGCTTCATTTCACTTAATGTAGCCTTAATTTTTCCATCTAATTTGCAACTAAAATCAACCAGTTCTGTGAGCATCCTGATCACCAGTGTTTTGAACTGTGCATCTGATAGGTTGGCTATCTCTTTGTCACTTAGAAGTATTGGCTCTGGGGCTTTGAGTTGTTCTTCTTCTTGAGCCACAATGTTTTGGTCTGTTTGTGCCTGTTATGCATGAGGGGTGAAAGCTTAGGTGTTCACTGAGGCAGGTCAATCTTGTCACTGGGTTGTTATGGGGGGCAGGTTCAGAGAGGGAGAAATGGCATTTGTTCCTCTCTCTCTCAGATTTCGGTCCCCTCTGCCGCTTCCCACAAGCAAATTGGACCATTCTGGTGCTGGTTCTTGGGTTGGTGGACTTATGTATGTTCTAGGACCCTGTGGGTCTCTCCAACACACTCTCCTGTGAGGCTGGGAGTCTCTCCCGGCACCTCAACCCCCAAAAGTTTTTCCAATCAGTGCTTTTAGGCTTTATTTCCTGGTACTGGGGCCCTGCGTTGCGCAGTCTGTCTGACTGTTCGTTTTTCACCTGGTTTATCTGCACGTGAATGTGTGGCCATGGTCAGCCAGCCACCCTGAGCCCTCACTGGGTCTGTCCATTGTCACCTGCACCTGGGATTTGCCAGCCACCACCTGCGCACCTGGGTTGGTCCGGCAGCCACTGCTTTTCCTTGCTGCAACCCCTCTCCTCCAGCCGCCAACTCCAACCCTCTTACCAGTCTGGATGAATGGTTCATTGTTGTCAGACTTCGGTATAGTTCAATTTTCTGTGTTTCGGTGGTGTTTTTGTTTCTAAATCTTTGTTGTCCTTAAATTTGGTTGTGCGAGGACGTACAGTATTTCCACCTGCACCTCCATCTTGGTGGGAAGTCCAGATTAATATATTTTAAACATATGAATTCACTGTAAATTAACCTGTAAATTCACCGCAGTCCCAAAGAAAATTCTCATAAGACTGAAATTGGCATGTGATAAACTGATTTTAAATTTCACCCAGCACATACTTGTGAGAGTAGACAGAAAATATTAGAAAGATCAGGCCAATGTAAAGAAAGTCGTGAAAACAGATATTAAAACAAACTAAAATATCAACAAAACCATATAATACTAAAACCAGGTCTTTATCTTAAACCATGCGCTTAAAAAATATCATGTGTACTAAAGATTGAATTATAAAAATAAAGTATATAAATGTTAGAAGGCCATATAGGAGAATAACTATATTCTGAGCTAAAAATGTTTTCAATAACTAAATTCAGAAACCATAAAGAAACAGATTAATATATTTAACTATACAGAAATTAAAAACTGCTATAGGTAAAATATACTCTACATACACACCCACAAAGGCCAAGGACACACTGGTAAAAGGACCTGCAATACCTAAGGCAGATGGAGGATTAGTATTTTTTTCCTTACATGAATAGCTCGGGCAAAGAAGTAAGGGAAGAAGATGCTCAGTAGGAAGAAAAGGAGTAGCCATGAATCGGCAATGACACAAAATCATGTGGAAATATATATGCTCACCATAAACCAAAGAATGCAAATTAAAATGAGGTATTTTGCCTATCACACAAAAATCAGTAATAAATTTACATACACAGAATAGAATGTTCAGAGAAATGATGAGAGATGCCCAATGGAGAGCTTTCCCTGTCCTGGACCTTATCAGAGTAAAGATGGAGGAGGCAGTGTCTGGTTGAGCAGGTTAGTCCTAATTCAAAGGCACAGGATAATTAGTGCGAAGAGAAAGAGTGTAGCAGATGGCAAATCACAATGACCTATTTAGGGGCACTGACAGGTGCCCCTAAATATTGTGTCTCTTAGAGTTGATATTTTAATATTTACAGCTTCTAAATATAAAATTCATGTGGCCTTTGAATGCTTGGTTGAGGGCAAGGTTTTAGAATGTGGATAATACATTTAATGATAAGTTTGATAGTAAACGTAGTGTTTTGATAAGACATCTTTACAAATATAGTGGTACCTCAGTACTCATCTTTAATTGTTCTGGGACTCATGATGAGTGCCAAAACCAATGGGTACTGAGCAATGAAGAATTTTCTCTTGCAGGGCACCTCTGTGACTCATATAAGTTCTAGCAAGTGTGACTAGTCCCAAGCAAGCACCAAATGCTGGAACTTTTTTTCTCCATCAAAATGTGATGAGGTCAGTATTTGGTGGGTTCTGAAGCCAGCAAGTACCCAGGTATGACTGTACTTTTTCAAAATATGTTGAAACATTTAAATCTTCATTGCTTGTTAAATACATAATCCTTAGAGCTCTTTGGAAGAGAGCTGGAAAAAAATAAGTTTGCCTGGGGGAACGTTAAACTCTCCTTTCTCCCTTCTACCATATTTTCCTAGTTTCACCCCAACCAACACTTCTTTCAGTGGACTCAGTACACTCAGGTTGTTTGGGTCCATTTGCTCTCAACTGTTCAAAAAGTCTACAAAATGATTTTAGACAGTTTATAATAGAATTAGTGTTTGTGTCTCCTCTTTAGGTATTTGTACTCCTCTTTTCAGCACATATGAAGGTTGTTGAAGAGTTTTCACAAACTTAATAGAGCTTGAACTTTGCTCCCAGAGCCTAGGAGTTGGGCAGGTTTAGTGATTCAGGTTTCTGAGAGAGGTGAACTAACTTGGGGAAACCCCAACACACCGCAGGCTAACAGGGCTTAGAGTTCAAGCCTTCTCATCCAAGTTTTGGCTGTTTCTACCTTGTGGTCTACTCCCCTGTACAAGAGGAAGGCTCAAGACAGCCATGGCCCCTAAGTGATAGATGCTTATAGATCACATGTTTTGAGGATTATACCAAGGCGGGTTCTTAACCTGCTTACCTAGAACAAAAGTCATCTACGTTTACCTGCCTTTGGAGGGTGAGTGGATGGGAATTTGTCCTCACTCCCAGGACCTCTGGTTATGGGAACATTCTGGGACAGCAGCCCTTGGCATGCATGACTCTTGTCCAGGCAGAGCCTGCAGCCCCAGGGTCCAAGCATGTCTGAGCCATGGCTGCCCCACATCTCAGGGCACAGAGGGAAGCCTGAGATGTGGCTACCCACATGTTCTCCTACCTTTTATGGCCTCTTTCACAGTAGAATCAACAGGGAGGATGTTCTTCTCCACCAGCTCCAGTGGCCCTGGCCGGAGGGCAATTCTTTCATTGAGATCGTCTGCAAGTCGGGCTCTCTTCAGCTTCATCTGAGCGGCTGGAATGGACCTCTCCGCAGTGGAGGCTGAGGGTTTGGCAGTGAAAGGATCAGCTGTAGAATGTGGTATTTTTATTATTGTTTTTGCTTTTGTAACCAAAATCATGTGTCACACTGTGCTCTACCATTCTAATAATTTTTCAACACAATTATCATCAATTCACATGTATTAGCAGCTGAGACTAGACACTTCCAAATAAAGTCAAATAGTGATTCTGGTACACAGAAAAGTTAGAGAAACTTGCTTTGTGAAGATTTTTGAAGAAATGTGTGATTTGGTGACTCTGTAAGCAAGCCGTCCCTGGGGCCTGCAGTGCTTGCTGACCCTAAGCTATGACATTTGGATGCACACCCTGTCTGTAGGTTCCCAGGTGCAGGCTGAGCCTGCAGTCAGTACTGTCTATTTTCATAATTAGTTGTAGTAGTACGATTTCTTCAGGCTTTTACACTTGTCAATGTGATGCTGATTCAAATATCCAGATTAGTTGTAAAATAAAAAATTTCTTTGAAACAGTTATTTAGTTAAACCAAGGAATTAAAAAAATTTAATTTATCCAACAAGCAGTTGATGATCCTTTGGCGGGTGAGAAAGGTTGCTGACAGAGCCTTAGATCACACCTGTGTTCCTCTGCCAGTTAGGCCCTGACTCACTCCTGTGGACAAACGGAGGAGCTAGCCAACCAGGTGTTGCTATGATGCAGAACTGTAGGGTCTGCAGCTTAACTCTCAACATTGCAAATTGAGAAAGTGAGATATTTACAGACAAGCCTCTCAACCCCATTGTTTTGTTACTTTTATCCTATTAATGCAGGCCTACTGTCTGATCTAGAAATCTTCATACAGCAGTAGCCTGGTGACATCTGACTGTTGCAAGAGGCCAGACTTGTCTAAGAAGCTGTATCTGCAAAGCACTTGATGTGGGATGGAAGCACTGGAAAACAACCCACTGAGAATCATAAGTGGGTGTCTCTTAATTACACACACACACACACACACACACACACACACACACACATTGCTAGGGCTATATTTTTTCATCACAAAATTTGACTGAAAATACAGTTTGTGTGTCTGGGTTTTCTTCCTTGAATTTGATTGCAAATATAATTTTGTTTTCTGTTTTTTTTTCACTAAACATCATCTTGTAAACCTTTTGTCATGAAATCATTATTCTTTTAAAGCCTTATTTGTAGTGGCTGCAAGGTATTTAATTATATGGCTGATGCATAATTTATTCAGCTTATCCCTTATTGTTGTATATTTCACTATTTGCAATGTTTCAGCACCTAAAGTAATTCCATAATGGACATCACTGTATATAAATCTTTGCATGTCTGATTATTTTCTTTGGATAAAATACAGGCAAATTTTGTTTTACTATGCTTTGCTCTATTGCACATCACAGATGTGTTTTTTACAAATTGAAGGCAAGACCTTCCACCACTGAAGAGATTACTACTCACTTTATTGTGATACTTGCTTTATTGTAGTGGTCTGGAACAGAACTGGAAATACCTCTGAGGTACGCCTGTACTAGAAACTTATTACTGGGATCAAGGACAGGCACATTTTAATGTGGACATTTTGTTGGACATTTATACATTGGACATTTGCTTTGTGCTCAGAGAGAGTTAGGAAGTGGCACAGCTAAGATTGGAAGCCAAGTCTGATACCTTTCTAACCATTATATGGCTTCCCACATTGGTGGTCTAACTGGCCTAGAATGACTAGGTGACTGCTCTAAAGCACCCATTTCTAATGGCAGAGGACACTTTCTAAGAGGACTTAGCAACTGTACAGAGACAAACAACTCTCTCAAATGGCCCACCTTTTAGGGGGCACCCTGGTTTACGGTTTCCTGCAGACTTACCCTGGAGTATGTGCATAGTAACCAAACCAGCACTGCTGGACCTGTTCCTGGCCTTGTGCTTCAGGGTGTCTTCAGTCTGCAGGTGCAAGCAGAGAGTGAATTCTTTTATCAACCACATATAGCTGAGTCACCTAGTTTCAATTTTAAGAGAAACCTGACTTTCTCAAAGGGAAGGGTATTTTTTATGACAAGTGGAACATGGAAATATCCCTGGTCTCCTATGATTTCATGTGGAAACACTTACAAAAGCCTCTTTAATAGTTTTAGGATGGAGAGGTAAGATAAAGAGAGAAAAAGCTTGGGTCCACATCAGTTCTACAAAGTCAAAGGCCAGGCAGGTACATGTAAGCAAAATATTAATGAAACCATGATGGCATCAAGCTGCTTGTATTATTGTTAACCCTCTCCCATTGCCTCTAAAAACGGCCACAGTATTAATTAGGGTTAGAGGTGACCTGTAACCTGAGTCCATCTGGTATAACATGACAGCATACACCTTCCCCCTGTTATTCACCTGACTTCTCTCTTCAGTAAAAATGTAAACCCTGCAGATTCAGACCTGTCCTCAGGTAGAAAGACACTTAGAAACAGGATGTAGACAGTCTCATCCCTTCCTGATCACAGCGCTGCCTGTGGGGACGAGGTGGTCTGCGGCAGGGCCACACTGCCCCTCAGGCCCCTGATTCCCACTTCTGGGTTTTCATCCCACTATATTGGCTCTCTGAATTGGCCTTTGAGAAGGGCCTGGGGACCACTCCAGGTCTGATTAAACAAATAAACAAACAAATGCAGTCATTTTCCAGGTAGTAGGAGCCACAGCCTCTCATGAGTGAGCACTTTGAAGAGTTATAGAGCTCTGTTTCTTTCTCCACTCAGAATAGTTGCAAGGCTAGAACTCTTAGGCAAAGGAATCCATGGAGAAAGACACCTGCTTTGTGTCTTCTTCCCATGTACAGTGCGGATGCTTGCTAAACAGTATTTATATTATCGAGATGTTCGGGTGGCAGAGATTTGCTATGAAGGTGCAGACTATATGCCAATCTCCCCCTGCAAATGCCAACACTTCCCTAGAAACAGAAAGAGAAATAAACTCAATGCCTTTTGCCTAAGTAGCTGCAAATAAGGCCTGTATCCACAGCCCCTACCTTAGCACTGAATTGCATTTAAAAAATCTGCTTGTTACTAAGAGAGGACTGTAATGAAAGGCAAAGTGCCTTGCGAGCCAACTTTTACTTCCCTGTTTAAAATCTCTTTGCCCTCTTTTTTGAAAAAGATTTTATTTATTTATTTTTAGAGAGAGAGGAAGGGAGGGAGAAAGAGAGAAAGAGAAACATGCATACGAGAGAGAAACATTAATTGGTTGTCTCTGGGGCCCAAACCTACAACCCCAGCATGTGCTCTGAACCAGCAAACTTTTGCCCTGTGGGACGATGCCCTTTGACTTTTACTACATCCTTACAGTGATCTCCCCAACATTAGAACAATTGGGGACATTTTAAAGCTGAAAAATAACATTTTCAAAGCTAATATATTTGACCGCATTTCCACAGCTATCAGTTTATAGGAGTAAGATTTCATAGGGCATGGGGGTAGGGGACTGGCAAACTGGTTGAGCTTCCTCTAGAATTCTACTGGCTTTCACCAAAGCTTGGCATTGAGGGACCTATACCCCAGAGTCTAAGTTCAGGAAAAGGGCAGTTTGCAGAAAATTACCTTGTCACTATCCAAATGTTTTCTTTGCTCATGGAATATAGTTGGACTTTTCAGTGCTGAAACAGAAAGACAAAGACGTAAGCAGAGCTGGCCCCAGAGCTCTGGGCTGCATTGTAGCATTTGCTGGTGCGCTGGCTGAGCTGTGCACAATACGAACGTGGTCGCCTTTATTAGGCCACAAGCAATTGAAGAGGAAAGGCTTGGAGGACGCCAGTTTCCCCAAAGCCACAGGACACAGAGGGAGGTGGAATTTAGGCCTAAAACAGGAGGAGCAGCAGAGGCAGGTGCGACAGGAAGAGGTGACAGGGCATTCCAAGTTCCTGAGGAAACAGGCCTATGGGAAACCTGGGGCAGAAGCAATGTTCTAGTTTGAGGGGAGTGGGGAGACTGAGGTCAGTAACACCCTCTGTGACTTTGCTCTGCCCTTGAGTGCCAAAGACTGCATGGAAGCTGTGGTCTGAGGTCAGGGGTCCCATGTTGTAAGAAGGGACTTGCCCCTTGGATGGAGCACGTGGCTGCTAGGTAGGAATGTGCAACTAAGAGTGCTGAGTGAGAAGCACAGAACCAGACTTTAAGGGCTGGAAGGGACCTTGGAGATGATGAAATACAACTCCAACTTTGAACAGAACGGGGAAACTGGGGCCCAAGGAAATTGGTTGCCTTGCCCAGGGTCACACAGGTAGGGCTAGCAACCTGACCTCTGACAACTCTGACAACCTGACTTCTTTCAAGGTGTGTGTCCAAGATATTAACAACTAGTAGATGCAGGCACTGGTCAGTCATTGCACACAGCAGTTGTTTACAAACTCAACTGAATGCCAGCCTCCATTCTTCCCACTCCTTCCTGTTTCTCCTACCACATCCCAGCTCCTCACCACCTTAATAAAAATGATTTATTAAGCTCTTTGGACTTGGCACAGAAGTAGACTTGTTCAGCAAAATTCTACATTTTTTCCTTAGGCTTTCTGATCCCCTGTAACAATCTCAATCAGGAGCCACAAACATTCACTTTTCATTACAAGTGATGAAGTTGATCAGAGATTACAGAATTGCACTGAATATTGTTCTGTGTAAGTCTGAATAACTGGATGAGTCATGTGACCTACAGTTCTAATATTACTCTGACAGGTGTCCACTTTTAAGCTGTAGGCAATGAAATATTCTTCCAAATTTTGGCCAGAATAAAAACTTGATTTCTGGCCAAATTGGAGGTTGGGGCTGTGTGTGTGTTTATGTGTGGATCTGTGCTTCATTCAGTCCTTAAGATCATGCTAGATTTGAGCAGTTTTCAAAAGGGCATGCTGGACATTAAGCCAAGTCCTTCGTAGTCCAGACTATGTTATCCTCTCTTGGGGACACTGCTTGGGAAGGTGCTAAGCATGCTCTCTCTAATCTCACTGCTTCATTCCAACATTAACAATGTTATCCAAAGGAGCATGCCGAATAGTCCCAGCTGACTGCCTTGTGCCAAGTATATGGGACAAGCCCCTCCCACTACTTTGAGCAGATGAGGAGGCTTCCCTTCACATAGGAAAGAAAGATAAATGTGTTGATTGAATATCACATTTTCTATTGATCTAACAACAGTTTATCTTGGCTACTTTTACTCTTACTATGGGCTTCTGGCCCCTCTCCTTCCCTCCTTTTGTCCTCAGTGACTCCAAGAAATCATCTGGAGACATGTGCAATTCTATTGTGATGTTCATGCATTTTCTTTGATTTGTGTCTAGCCCCATCCTTAGTAAGGAGGCTTGCCTTTTCCTGCATTTGATCACAGTTGCAATTTGTATTGATGGAGTTCTAAAAGCAACTCCCATTTCCCTGGGCAACCAGATCCTACACATCTGCTAAAGTCCAGTGGACCGTAGTGGTTCTGTACAAGTTGAACAGATAGGTCTCCACCTGTGTCCCACACTCCCACACGCTGGTGTTCATCTCAGTCGATATTATATACCAGTGTGGTTTGATCACTTATAGTCCGGAAAAGGAAGTGCTGTTAGTGAGGCCTGATTAAGTGGTTAAGAAGGATAACACATCCTTTTCCTTAAGAAGCAATCCCCAAGGCACAGTGTGTCTCTTGAGATATCTCTTACATTTCATACTCAAATGGTTTTAATTGGGCTTAACACTTGGGAGGAATTTATCTGGTTCTCTTGTCCCTGAGGTTCTTCAATTCTTTTTAGCACAGTTTATTAATTGTTCTAAGAAAAATTGTATTTCCTGTATCTTAGCTTGTCAAACTATAATTCATCACTTCTTGGTGTTAACAACTCCACTGTGAAATGACTCATATAGTCCGGTTCTCTGATGCCAGGAGCACAAAGGTCATCTGGAACCTTCTAAAAAAACACAGGGTGGAGAAGCTATGTCCATTTAGCAAGAACTTGGGAAGAAAGCCAAAGAGGTCAACACACTGCATTTTACTACATGCTGTTCTCAGGGGTCAAGGGACGTTATATGGGGCACTGGCTGGAGGTCACTCTGGAAAACTACCCCACCAGGCCCTGCCACAGATATTGGCGTTTTCTGTGACTTTGGAGAATGTGGGTTTAGCCACCTCCCCTAAGGGCCAGTGCCGGCCGTGAGGCAGTCACCCAAATTCACTTTTTGGAAAACACATAAAGGGACCTCTTCTGCTGCCAGCCCTGAGAGTATCAAAGGGCAAAATTTTGTATTTAAGGGATATTAACATTTAACATTGAAAAGGAATTTAAATTTCTAAATTAAAAAAAAGTCAATTGTGATTTCAAATTAAAATATGGTTGTCAGCCCAGTCAGGCACACATCTAACTCATTCCCCCTGGAGGGAGACTAATCACTTCTCCCAAGGGAACTCACATTCTCACCTCAGAGTTTAGTTCTGGGGCCTGGCCATTTCAGAGCCTGCAGCTCCAGCTAACTTGGGTCAGCTGTGTGTACAAACATTTGCTTTCTTAGAGCCCAGGAAAAGATCCCCAGGTGAGAACAGGCCTCTTGCAGCACTGCTCTGCACTCTAACCTCACATCTTCATCTAAATCCCAGAAAAAAAAGAGGAAATAGATCACAGGGCACTGTAGTGAAGTAAGGAGAGGGGCCAGCACAGGGTGGGGGCCTGGTGTCAGTGGCGGCTCTGATGGCAGAGCAGGGCTGTGCTTGAAGCAGAGCTCACCTCTTCTCACCAGTGGCTAGCTCCCAGGCTTGGAGGGAGAGAACTCCAAGGCATGGAGGGCTCCCTTGGTATTTCTGATCAGGGCCAAGAGGCAGAATCAAAGTGCCAGTGTCCTGGGACAGGAGCTGGAGCAGTGGTGCTCAAAATGTGGCTCCCAGACCAGCATCTTCAGCATCACCTGGGCAACTGTCAAAAATGCCAGTTCTTGGGTCCTACCCCAGATCTAGAGAATCCAAAACTTCCGAGCTGTGGGACCCTGGCTCTGTGTCCTAACAAGCCCTCTAGCTGACTCTGAGGCACAAGTCTGAGAGTTGCTCCAGAGTTTATAATGCCCATGGGTCCTAATGTAGGGTCCTTGGGAGTTCAAAATGGGAGTAGTGATTTCTAGGAGTGATTTTCAGTATTTCAAAAGCCTGAAGAAAAGGGGTATGTTTGCCCAGAGGGAAAAAAAGGCTGCTTAGGCAAAATGAACTATCACTTTTCACTATCGCTGCCTGGATTCATCACAACATGGTTTAATAGTGGTTGTCCTCATGAGAAAGCACAAGTCAGTAAGTTTATGTGCCATTCATTAGTCAAAGACAGACATGTGGGTTAATAATTCATGGATGTAGGGTCCTTTGGGAGGAAGACAAAACTAACTCAAACATTAGATCTATGGCAGTGATAGGTGTAATTAAAGAAGTCTTGGATGACTAACATTTGGGAACCACCCATCTTGGCTCTGTTCTGGTTTATGCCACCTATTTTTGGTATAGCTTTGAACAACTCTGATAGTCTCCCTGTGTTCTCAATTTCCCACTTATAAAATGGGTCTAGTAATGCTTGTCCTCTCTTTGCCTCACTTTCAAATACAAATTGGATCATGAATATTTTCATTTCAAGTAAATGACTCACCTGTGATAATGCTTTGTAAATTGTTCTCTTTTTTAGGTTGACAATAAATTACCAATTCAGTACCAACTAATAATCTTAGGGGTCTTCTCAATGTAACTTTGTAATGTCAAAGACCTGGCTTGGGGCCTGGCAGAAATAAAAATTTTAGAATTTCTCAGAAGAAGGACACAAAGGAAAATTCATAGTATGCTTATAATTACTGGTTTACTAGTGTTGAAGGAACAAGAAACCATAAAATTGAAGGAAAAAAGAGAAAAAGAAGGAATTTAGGATTGTTGACCTATAATGGGTTTGCCATGAAAATCCGGGATGTGCCTCTTCCTATCTCTGAAATTGAGATGTTAGAAAGAAGGGAGGAGGCGGACAGGTTAATCCCTTGTGCCGTGTTCTGCTCAAACAGCCAGCAGTGTGTGCTAGGGTGCTGTAGGGATAAGCCAAGTCAAATGAATGCGCTGAGGAAAGGAAGAAGGCTTTGCCTAGTCCACTTCTCGAAGTTATCATGAAGCTGCCTGTGGTGTGGGAACAGGAATTGCCCCCATCACTCTTCTTGCTATGCAGGAGGAAAATCACAGAATTCAGGGATTTACCAAGGCTTTGCAGAAAGTATGTGGCTGCTGTGGCTTGGATTAGTCTGCAAAACAAATAAAGGCAGCACCATTCATAGACAGCTCATTGTATCTTTGAATTCATTTACATCGATCAGACCATGGAACCAGGCCACCCAGACATTTCATTCTGGCCAGTGGCGGCTTTCTAGGAGTTTCTGCAGAGGAGTCCCAGCCTCTCTGGGCCCTGGGTACTCCACAATCCGTTTCAGTCCTCTAAGCTCATTCTCTATGTACCAGGATGAGAAACTAAATGTTCTCTCCTCTCTCCCCTGGATTCATATAGATTAGCCCCACTTACACAGCAGTGGAAGAGAGAAAGAAAATGTAATTTATTTCCTTAAATCTTCCCAGATACCCGCTCCCACATGGTGATATCAATATTGTTAATGGGGACAATTATGTAGGAGTGATTTGGGGCCCCTTCTGGGCTGTAAGCACTTTGAAACAGAATTTATGTCTGACTCTTCTGTGCTCTATGGGGCCTTCCTCACAGCAGATGGTCAAAGTATTTACCGCATTACTCTCTGATCACTGATTGCATCTAATCCATACAGCTGGTCATACTTCTGCACTAAGGCTTCTGAAGTTGTTGGAATGAAATTGTGTCATTTAAGATTCTACCCAGGAGAGGACTGCCCAAGGAAAAAGTTGTGGGTGAGGTAATTTTTGTGAGAAATGATGAACAGATCCAAGGTCTACAAGGGGGAAGAGGCTGGCTCTGTTGTGTATCCCTTAGAAAGTAGAGAACCTTGCTGCCCTCCTACAGCCTGAAGCCTGGAAGGGAGGCACAGGGAAGCCATTCCCTGTAAATTCAAGTCGACGGTGACAAAGTAGGAAATGTGAAATTTCCATTTTGAGAGTCAGAGATAAGATTTTGGAGATAAGTCCAAACAATAAATTCTTAAGTATTTCTAAGTTAACTTCATGATTATTTCACGGAGCTATTAAGACTGTTGTGAAAATGTGAATTTCACAACTGATATTATAAGTGTAAAAGTGATTTTCAGCTCCGGCTTAGGTCCATGTTCCTGGCTGGAGAACCCTTTTCCACTGTTTAAAGTTATTCTAGGGGTTCAGTGCTGGCTTCAGAATCCTGCCTATCTTGACTAAAAGTCTAGGAATAATGCCTTTAAATCCACTCAAAGCACCAAAAGGGTAAAATTCTAAACCTATAATGCACAAAAGTACGAAATAAGTCAATGCTTAATGAAGTGATTAAGGGGGATCATACAAGAGAATTTGCCCTGGTGGCTGAGGACTCTGTTACTCATTGGCAAACTCAAAACCTACAGGATGCACACAGCCAAGGACGGGAAAGACATCAAATTAAATCCATTTGGACTAGTTTCATTAGTCAACTAAAAATTACACATGGTTTAGTTCACTGGAGTTGGGGGAGGCGAGAGACTTTAACAGTTTAACCATTGCTTTGGCATGCAATTGAATTGAGATCTGCCACATAGGTAAGTCAGTGGAATTTTTCATTTTATTTTGGTCGTAGTGAGGTATAGATTATAATGTAGAATCTGAAGCTATTTCAAAAAACATTGGTTTATTCTTGTCATGATATATTTACATACATACATACATATATAGTGTGTGTGTGTGTGTGTGTGTGTGTACAAAATCTTGGGCCATAAAATGCCACAAAATGCTTTATGGTAGTAAAGTAAAGTAAGTAAACTTAAGTAAGCCCTTTAAAAATTCAAGTGATTCATGTCAAATATTTGAGAAAAGAGTGCTGTATAGAGAGCAGAAGACACAGTTTCTGGCCTCAGTTCCCCCACTGTGCACAATAAGAAGGGTGCATTTTTGCAGTGGACAGGCCCAATTCTGCTCAATGATACTGGTGTGTTTGTGTCTACAGCTAAAAGCAGTAGTGCTATACAATAATAACATAAGAACAATTAACAGTTCATTTGGCTATCAACTTTCAGTTTTGTCAATTTGTGATGTTTTAAAATTTGGGTGAAGATTGCAAATATTTAAAAATTTATTGATAAAGTGGAAACTTTATTAATAATTTTTTGTGCACACACTTAAATTGTCACCGTTCTAATTTGCAAAAATTAGAACCAAATTGTGTCCAGGCTTCGGGACATTTGAAATATCTCTTGGGTCTCCTCAATCTCAGTTTTAGGAACGTGAACGACAATGCCTGGGGGTGAGGCCTAAGTCAGGGGTTTCAAATACTGTTCTGAAGAGAAGCAACTCTCCGGGGAAGACAACTGCAGGCATCCAGAAGGGACGGGGGTGCTGAGTAAGTGGGGCAGAGGCCCCCCACCCTCTTTCAGTCAGTGCATGCATACACAATATATCTTTAACAATTCAAAATACTGAAAATCACAGAATTAGATGATCTCTAAGGATTACCAGCTCTTCTTCCCTCCATTCTATTCCCTTCCTTCTACCTTATCTCTTTTGTGGTGTTTCAAAAAATTCAAATAAAAGAATGAAGAAATAAGAAGCCCTCTTGTGAACATAACAAGTTCCACCTGGACTCATACGAGTATTTCTCATCATCCTTTCTCCTAGAATCTTGTGTTTCCCTGAAGGGCTGTCTTGCTCACTCTAGTGCCTATAGCACCTGGCACCCTGTCTTGCAAAGAGTCATGCTTGAAATGGATCAAATTCAATTAAGTTGGAAAGCCCCTGAGACTGTTAGTTCCTCATTCCTTTTTCCCCTGAGGGCTGCCACTGGTACCCTTAGGGCCTGAGTAAACAAGCTGGCTGCCCTGCCCTGCTCAGCCCTGAATTACTTTGCCTATTAATCTCTGATTGGGTTGAAGAGGCCTGCCCTCTTCTCCCCAGCCCCACCCCTTGACAGTGGAGATTCCTCTGGGTCCAGCTTCCTGAGAAGAGCTCAGTAGTCAAGGCTTCTCCAGACTGGGCCTGTGGTGTGCGCCTACGTGGCTGGGACATAGTCCCAGAGAATCTACACCCTGGGAAAGCCTGGTTGAGAAGAGTTGGCTGAAGACTATAGAAAACTGATGTTTAATGAACTTTTATAATTTTGCTGAACTAAAAAGAAAAAAAATCATTTCCTTACTCATAGGACTTTTTCCAGTAATTATTTTAATGATACATGAACTATGAATACAAAATTTCTGTCAAGCAGTATCTTGTTAATTTGCACACTATCTGATTCCAAAAGTCCTGGGGAACAAAATATTCTATCCCCATTGGACCCTACTACACAAACAGACATTTGGTTTTCCCAACTGACATAGAGGTGTTATTTTAAAATGTAGCATAGGGTTAATTCCTATCTTATCAAGTATTTTTACCAATTTCTAGAGATTTAATCTTGTTAACCTCAACCCTGCCCCCCCCACAAAAAAAAAACAAAACAGTTTATTCTCATCCAAATGCCAGTAGTAAGACCCAGACTCAGAGAATATAAGCACATAGGGGGAACTCTAAGTCAGCTGTGAACAGTTGGAGCTGACTTGCAGGTCCTGGTCTATCCCCTTCATTTGCCTTTCCAGAATTAAGACAAAGAAAACCAGTGAGGGGGTAGATTATTTTCATACTATTCAAATCTGTGGCTCATCCTCTATTTAAGGGCACATAGTATAGACTGGTCTGCTGAAAGGATCCTGGTGGATCTATGTTTGTCTGCAATCTTAGTGAATAAATCCTGCCACCAATGTAGGATTCCTGAAAAACTGGCCTTGTCAGCACTGAGTGAAGTTGGATGGAATTTGTGTGATTCAAAACCTGCAGACCCCTGTCTCTCTTCCACCCTGAGCACATGTGCAGGCGGTCTGACCACCACGAATGGGCCACACACAGGAGAGAGCTCCTGTGCTTTCTCATCATAGTTGTACATGTTGTTTAAGCAGCTTTGAAATGGCAGGATAAGCTGGGTTTTTTTGTGTGTGTGTTTGGCAAACTTCTAAAAAAGTTGTTCCACTATAAGCTCACTTGCTGTTTTCTGCCTGTAGGGTTTAGCCATTAACACAAAGCTGCTTTTGAAATACAAAGGAAAAGGCCTGAAAAATTCTTAGTTGTGTGTTGGCTCTGAATTACAGAATTATACTTACAAATTTTAGACCTTAAATTATAGGACTCTGATATTACTAACTGCAGGACATTTTGTCAAGAACACATTTCCACTTATTTCATACCAAACTCTAAAATACTAATTATAACAGGGACCTGGTTTTCTGTAAGAGTCATTATGAATCTTAAATTTTGTTGGAGAAAGTTAGAAACTATGACCTAAATAAACTTAAACTGTGACTTCATTCATGCAGAACACTCTTTTTGCTATTTCTATTTTTTTTAAGTTAACTTTAATTGCTACATTGGTAGAAAATTTCAAATACATCTAAAAGATTTGATAATTTTTATTTTCTGATCCACATTATGGCCAGTAATTCAATATTATACCACTTACACTAGAATGGTATTGCTACTCAGTAGTCCAGAAAGGAAGCACTTGACAATATTCAATTAATTGTGGATACAAGTATCCCAAATAGAAGTAAAACTGAGGAGGTGGGAAAAGGTGATGTGATTAATGCTTCTGGAAAGAATAGTAATGATATCCTATTTTAGAAGCATGAAAAGGGTGAGGGATGCCCATAGTGAATTGTGCTTACCCTGAAACCAAACACACCACAATGTGAAATTTTAGGGACTCATCCCCTTGTGGGTGAGTAGCATTTGGGACAAAGCATCCCAAATCTGAGACTTCTGATGACACAGATTCTGTGAAGGTCCATGGGCTTAGACTAAACGACCTCTGAGGTGCTTTCCAGTTCCCCAAACCCCACTGTAGTAAACTAATAAATAGGATATGCAGCTACTCACATGGTATGATGCCTTGGTTGGCCAGTTGTTCCTGGGTCCTTCTCTGTTGAAGTCGTAACTGCAAAACTTAGAAAAAGAAGTGTTAGTTTGTGAGTTAGGCCAAATGTGATCCTAACCACTTATATTTACATCATGCTTTTTTGCATAGCTCTTCTCATTTTATCTCCAGAGCAGTTGTGAAAGTCTGTGCATCTTTATCTCTGTTACAGACATAGAGAAAGGGAGGAGAGCAGCTGAGAGGGTTGCAGGGTTTTTCAGGAAGTTGGTAACAACCTAGAAAGAGGACACTTGTCTCCTCTTTGAAGTGAATGTTATTTTCACAGCACCATGCTCCCTCTGTCCCTGCTATGCCACTTGGAAAGTAAATACCATCAAGTTCTTTTGGAAATTGTCCTGTAATTTCAAGAGGGAGGACCGAGTTAAGAAAGCATAGGCCTTGGAGTCTCACATGGCTTTACATTCCAGCCCTAGGGTTCACAGGTGAGAAACCCTAGGTAAGACCTCTCTGACTTTCGAGTTCCTCATTTGAAAGTGAGAACAGTGCCTGCCTCTAGTGTTGCCATGAAGTTTGAAAAGACAACCTATGCAGGTTGCTTAGCAGAGTGCTTGGAACAAAGTCAGTCATCAATGAATGGTATTATTGAGACTCTGGAATCCATTTATAAATTCAAAGAAGGGCTACTGGAATCATGCTTTGCTTAGAGAAAATAAAACATTGTAAATTTTTCAAACTATACTCTATTTTATAAATATTTATGCTACTATCCATAGATTGTATTATATACATATATGCATAAAAGTAGTATTATATATATATAATGAGTATATTGTGTGTATATATATATATATATATATGAGTGTATTGTTTGAGATTTTTCTTTTCTCTCACCTCTGTATCCCAAACACATTCTGTCTTTCAATATCTATCTTATTTCTCCTATCCAAGTACTAACCAGGCCCGACCCTGCTTAGCTTCCGAGATCAGATGAGATCGGGCGTGTTCAGGGTGGTATGGCTGTAGACCAATATCTATCTTATTTCTTACAGATATTCCATTTTCTTAGGGAGATTCTGGGTGTAAGTTGTTCATAATAAGAATAGAGAAAGCAGACATTTGCCTACAGTGGAAAAGAAGAAGATTTTTCAGGGGCTCAGAACTATAATCTATGAGGCATAAAAAGAATGTGGGATTAAATTAAAAAACTACCTCCAAAGACATACAAAGGTAAGTAATTGAAAGCTGTGGCAAGAATCCTTTTTGCCCAGGAACAGAAGGGAGCCTAAGGCTCAGTCTAACAGGGTTGTTGGTTTGGGTACCAAAGCAGGAGGTCGGCCTCTACCATGTCCTTCTCACAGTGGACTAGGCACTGGTTACAGGCATGAGACTGTCTCTCTGCAGGTGGAAGCGCAAATATGGCATCTTGGGGGACCACAGGATTGTTCAGATTGTTAGCAATACTCAAGGGAGTTAAGAATCCTGCACTGTCTGAAACCAGCTACTAGATATCCTGTACCTCTCTGCTAATCCCTAGAATTAGATCAAAACACAAGTGTCAGTGACGTGTCTTTTCCCTGTAGGCTGGGCTCACCTGTGCATCACTCAGTCTAACAGAAACCCATGAGGGCACACTGGGAGGGTATCATCGAGAATAACCTAGCCCGGGAGGCATGTCAGCACTACGAAGGAAAGACTCCAAACTTAACCATGAAAGAACATATACTCAAAGTTACAGTGTGAACAAATGCAACAGCCCTTTCTTGAAGACAGGCAAAAGAATATTTATCAATTAAAACTAAACTAAACCACTTCACACATGTTAGGATGGCTACTATATGTGTATAAAAAGCAACAAGTGTTGGAGAGGCTGTGGAGAAATTGGAACCCATGTGCACTATTAGTGGAAATGTAGAAAGGTATATCCACTGTGAAAAACAGTATGGCACACCTCAAAAAAAAATTAAAAATAGAACTACCACGTGATCCAGAACTCCCACTTCTGAGTATATATCCAAAAGAAGTGGAAGCAGAGATTTGTACATCCATGTTCCTTATTCACAATAACCAAAAGGTGGAAGTGACCCAAGGGTCTGTCAGCAGATGACTGGCTAAGCAAAATAGGGTATATACAGGAGTGGGCAAGAGTAGATTTACAGTAATCAATGAATTAATAATATGAGAATAAATTGCTTTGTGTACTCACAACCGTAAACCTACTTTTGCCCACTCTGTATCTACCACAGAATATCAGCTTTAAAAAATAAGGAAATTCTGACATATGCTACAGCATAGGTCAGACTTGAGGGCCATCATGCTAAGTGAAATAAACCTGTCACTAAAGGACAAATCCTATATGACCCCACTTACATGAGGTACCTAGATTAGTCAGATTCCTGGGACAGAAAGTAGAGTGGTGGTTGCCAGGGAGTGAGGGATGGGGGTGGTGGTGGGATGAGGAGTATTTTCTCATTGGTGCTGAGTTTCAGTTTTGCAAGATGGAAAGAGCTCTGAAGATGGGTGGTGGTGGTGGTCACACAAGGTGAATGCTTTTAATGCCACTATGTTGTATATTTAAAAAATGACTCAGATGGCAAACTCTTCAGCAGAAGCTATAACCCCTAAATCAAACACTTCTAATTATGCAATGAACATTCATGAATGTAGATGAAAAAAAACCCATTATTTTAGAAGATATTTGCTAGTATCTTCATAAAGTATGATGAATTTCATGGTATCTTTCAGTTTAAGACAGACTTAGGGTTAGCCTAATGTTAGAGAATAGAATTGAGTCAAAGTTAAAATTCAGGTTAGTTCTGGACATGAGAATGTTTATAGACAGATAAGCTTTTAGGTGGTGTTAGTCTTAGGTTGAAATTTTAAGCGAGACTTAGAATTAACTAATGTGTTAGAATTTTAGTGTTTTTGCTTATTATAACATTGGAATCACAGTTATACTCGGCTTTATAACTTAGTTAATATAATGGTCAGAAGGAGAAGTAGTTCTTGTACAGTGATTGTTTGGCTCTAATGTGTGATTTCAATCTTGTATTAAAGCTTCGTTTGCAGTAGAGTGAGTGGGGAGTGTTGAAGTTTGTGTTTGGTTTGCAGTCAAAATGGGTTTAGCATTAAGTTTTTTAGGTATCTACTTGCAAACCAGCATATACACCGTGTTCTTCAGTGAATGCGAGTGAATGATGACCGGAGCTGCTCCACCCAAAACTATGTTTGTTACCATGTTAAAACTGTAATGGCATTAACTATAATATTTTTGAAATAGAACAAGCCTTTTGCCTACTGTATTCATATTTAGTTAGAAACATATTCTAACTAAAAAGTTTAAAAATTTTTTAAAGGTTAAGATGGTAAATTTTAATTTATGTGTTTTCTAAGATTTTTAAAAATAAAAAACAAAGGTCAAAGTAAAACTTAGTTCATTAGAATAAACAAATTCAAATGGATAACTGAACATCAGAAGTAGCAGAGTTAAAAATGAACTAGTAAGCCAGAGGACTGAGCTGCACTGTTCTCTCCGAGTGTAACACAGAGTAGTAAAGCGGGAAGAAAGCAGATCAGTGTGTATTCAAGGTGGAAACACTGTGAAATGTAGAAAAGCTTCCAGAAAAAGATACTATTGCCAAACTAGAGATAGCTATTATTAATACGGGATGTGTGTCCTTGAGGCCCTTTTTTCTACGTTTATATGGGATCATATTATGCTTTCTTTCATTAGCTGCTTTCTATCATTAATAATATATCAGATATATTCCCACGTTATTTAACACCATTCAAAAGATACTATTTTAGTAGCTACATAGTATCTTATTTTTTGTTTTTCTTTAGGTTATTAAACCAAATGCCTATTATTGGATATTTAGTTTGTTTCCAATATTTCATTATGAAAAAACAGCAGTGGGCACTCTTGGTAGTTAATTTCAGCCCATGCCCTCATTATTACTATAGGATGACCTCCTCAAAGCAGAATTGTCCCATTCGAAGCATCAAATTGGAAGGGTTGTGGTCAGAAGGCAAATAGCTCTCTCTCCTGGAGGTTGTTCAGATTCTCTTCTTGCTAGCCAGCGGCCGGCTTGCCCGCTGCCCTTGGCCCCACCACTTTTCTTGCCTGGAAGCTGTTGTGCTTCTCTCCAGGGAAGCTGGTGGCTTGGCAGCCAGTGCAGTGCTCCGTGCCTGAAGAGAGTGGCCAGCGAGCCAGGGCCAGGAGAATCTTCGCAGTGTGGTCTGTCCCTGGGTGGCAAAGCTCCAATGCCAGAGGTGGAGCACGAATGACCCTGTGCCTTTCTGTGGCTATTCCCTCCTGCACATGGGAGGGGCCCTACACTCCTGGAAGCAGCTTGTGCTTGGTGAAGCAGCCTTTGCCTCTGGGCACAGCTGTCCTCAGTGAGTGCCTGGCCTCCTTCCCTGACCATCTTTTTGGGCTTTTCTGAGCAGCACCTGTCTCCCTGCATTCAGCTTGCCATTTGTGGCCCCAGACCTGCTGGCAAACTTTCACTGACCCACTGTGGCTAAAAAAAAAAAAAAAAAAAGACTGAGGGAAGGGTTGCATTTTGGCCCCTACCTTCCCCTACTCTCAGTTCTAGCCACCTACACATGCCAGGTATTTGTGGGGTTTCCGCTTCACATCCTTTGAGGCCATATGGTCATCTCTGGGTGGTGAAGGAAAGTGAGTTCTTCGTACCTTTTCCACTTCATTCCAGTATGTTCCTTTATGATTCTGACACTCAGCTGTCAGTCTCTGTTAGTTTCTAGAACCAAAGTGTTTTTTTCAAGTCTATTCTTGCATTCCTTTGTCAGAATTGTAAGTCATATGTCTGCACTGAAGTCACCTCTTTACTCAGAAGTTCTGGGCTCTTAAGTCTGATTTCCTCATCTGCCTGGCTATACTTGTTCAGTGTTACATTATTTCAATTACTCTAGACCCATGATAGATTTATCTGGTAGAGAGAATCTTATATTACCCATTTTTATAAATGCTGCTTGACTACTCCAGTCTGCCACCCTCCCCTCACCACCCCCAAATAAATTTCAGGACCAGAGAAGCAAATTCCACACC